ACTAAGTTGATATTTCTCTTCTAGAAATGGCTACAAGTTTCTGTACTGTTCTGCCCGTGCCATTGGGATGGCAGATATGACCAGAGGATATCTGCACTGGGTGAATGACAAAGGAACAATTCTCCCCAGGGGCCCTCTCATGTTGTCCCCCAGCAGTTTGTTTTCTGCCTTGCATAGGTAAGCATTCCCCCTCCTATCTCAGAGGAAGAAAAGATTTGGCATGCTGACCACTCTGTGCTAGATTTGCTACTGAGACTTGATGTCCTTCTAGTTATCATTTATATAATGTTTTGTCTGAAATTTCACTTGTAGTATACTTGTGTTTCTGTGGGCATTTTAGAAGTGACTGCAAAACACACGACATCAGTCACAGAGCAGCTCATTTTCCTTTTTTTCGTTCCTCTAGTCCATGACTGATTACTGTTAGGTTCTGTCTAAATTAGTACAATTTTGTCTTTTTTAATATAGCCACAAGGATTGTACTGCAGTGCTACTGTGCAGAATAGAGGGGAAAGAAAAAAGCTGGGAAATACAGACTGCCACAGCAAATGACCTTGAGATATGGAACACAAGACCTGCTCATGTCACTGATGCAGGACTGAGAGAGCTTACATATATTTTGGGAGTGCTCCATATATGACCACTTAAAAAGTAATATGGAGTTTAGCTGTGGTTCAACTCAGTTGATTGTTTGAACCAGCCATAGTCATAGAATCCTTGAACATTTTTGGCTGGAAGGGACCTTCAGGATCATCAAGTCCATCCTTTTCCTAACTCTATCAATACCACTAAGCCATGTGCCTCAGCACAACATCCACCCATCTCTTAAACACCTCCAGGAATGGTGATTCAACCACCTCCCTCGGCAGCCTGTTCCAATGGCTGACAACCCTCTTGATAAAGAAATTCTTCCTAATATCCAACCCGAACCTTCCCTGGCACAATTTAAGGCCATTTCCCCTTGTCCTGTCACTCACCACTAAGGAGAACAGACCAACTCCCACCTCACTATAACCTCCTTTCAGGTAATTGTAGAGAGCGATAAGGTCTCCCTTCAGTCTCCTCTAGGTTAAATAGCCCCAGATCCCTCAGCCACTACTCGTATGACACAAGCTCCAAGTCCTTTACCAGCTTGGTAGCCCACCTCTGTACCCTCTCCAGCACCTCAGTGTCCTTCTTGGAGTGAGGGGCCCAAAACTGGACAAATTACTCCAGGTGCGGACTCACCAAAGCCGAGTACATGGCATGACCACCTCCCTGCTCCTGCTGACAGCACCATTCCTGATCCAGGCCAGGATGCCGTTGGCCTTCTTGGCCACCGGGGCGGCTTCTGTTCAGCCGGCTGTCTATAACACCCCCAGGTCCCTCTCTGGCTGCAGATCTCCAGCCACTCCTCCCCAAGCCTGCAGTGCTGCTGGGGGTTGTTGTGGCTGAAGTGCAGGACCCGGCATTTGGCCCGATTGAAACTCATGTGATTGGCCTTGGCCCGGTGATCCAGCCTATCTAGATCTCTCTTCTGTCTAGCCTATCTAGTCTACCTGTTCTTGCTGGAAAGAGCTAGTAGTGGAAATGCCTTTTTTGGTTTGTTTGGGTTTTAGTAAAAACAACTGATTGATGGCTAACAAGGGCAGCCACTTCCATTAAGGTCACGCTTTCTTGTCACAGAGACAGGAGGTAGAAGATTATGTGTACTTCATTAGGTCTTCTGATAGAGATGGTCAACTACAGTAAAAGCAGCTCACAAACTGCACTCAAAACTGGAAATTTCTTCCCACTTACTTAGCTTGCACACAGTTTATTCACCTGTTTCTTAATACAGATGTTGGAAAACAGTGGATATTTTACTGTTTTATTGTCTCTTGTATCATTCTTGGAAAATTATTGACAAATGTCTATAATAACTACCAGTACTAGCAACAGGAAGGAATGAGAATATAAATACCAGATCAACAGGGAAGGAGGAAACTCTTGATCAAATCATGATTTGGATTTTCACTGTTGAAATTTTATTTTAGGGAAGTAATAGAAAAGAAGCCTGAAAAGTTCAAAATCGAGTGTTTGAACGATATCAAGAATTTGTTTGCTCCCAGTAAACAGCCTTTCTATGCTGCTTTTGGAAACAGGCCCAATGTAAGTCTGCCCCTTTCTATTTGAAGGGTTAAAATTTATGAAGTACTTGAGAAGCAAAAGAAATATGCTTTTCTTTTTGTGTCTATTTGAATAAGGAAATGGGACACTGATGCTTTTACGGGTTTGGTCAGGAAGACCCCCACACAGATACCTCAAAAGCTGCTAGAAGTGCTTCTGTGAGATTGCAGAACTGTGTTAGTATTCGCAGGATTTTATTAAATATTGCCAACTTTGCATATTCTTTTTCAGCTATTTTGACACCTTTATAGCCTAAGAGTATTAATTCAGTGTTCCTCAGTATTGAATCCTTTTTCCTATTGTATGGTTCCTGTATTTTGTTTGCAGCCCTGTGCTCTTGTAAGTGAGCTGGGGGTTGTATTGTAAGAGGAATGTTGTCACAAGGAATGATATTTTGTGGTATAGATTTTGTACATGTTTGTGGTCCCAGGCTTGGGAACAGGGGTTAAGCGTTTGGAGGCAGGGGGGAATATTTTGTTGTGGTGTGTGTATAGTTTTGGGGATTTTTTTTTTTTTTACGGGTGGGGTTTTTTAAGGGGCAGTTTTACTGTAGCCTTTTTTGGATCACCTTTTCTCCAAAAAAAAAAAAAAAAAGCTTGTGGTTTTGTTCGTGCTTTTTGCAGGATGTATATGCCTACAGGCAAGTTGGAGTTCCAGACTGCAGAATATTTACTGTGAATCCAAAGGGTGAACTGATCCAAGAACGTACCAAGGGAAACAAATCTTCGTAAGATCACTTTTGTTGTTTCAGCTAAAGAAAGTATTTAGGAATGAGATTGTAAAGTAACTGCATTTTTGACCACGATGATTTGATCTCCTATTGCGTATGTTATGTGAAAATCTTATTTGCCAGAGACTTACAGCTTTGGATACTTGATGGAAACTTTTCAAAAAGAAAAGAAAACTGGCAAAATAAAATTGAAAATTGCTTCTGCAGTAGGGGTGCTGTATTTGACTATAGCTTTCTGGTCTAGTCTTCTAAAGCTCTTTTTTGGCTACAGTTGAACAGTGACTAGACTGTTAAATAATGGTCTTCCTACTTTTTTAATACAGGTATTACAGACTAAGTGAGCTTGTGGAACATGTATTCCCATTGCTTAATAAAGAACAGAGTTCTGCATTTCCATGCCCAGAATTCAGCTCCTTTTGCTATTGGAGAGAGCCTCTTCCTGACCTAAACATGGATGACCTGGCCTGAAAAACACTTCTCACCTAGAGACGGAATTTCATATTCAGCTACTCAACTTCAGTTTAAATGTGAAGAACTTTCTTAATGAAGATGCTAATTTATATACTGGTACCGTAAGTCTTAGTAACGAATCACTTTAACTCCGTTGGTTTAAAATAAAGAAGATGCAAAGCTACTGTCTTTTTTTGTGTGTGTGCAGGGTTTGTTTGGGTTTTTTTGTTTATTTGTTTCTTTATTGCTTGTCTTAGTATATCTGTTTTAAGGCACTTGACATTGGCCTGTCACTGATGGTCATGGTACCCAAGTGCTTCAGGGCAACTAAATGCTGAGGTAAAATATGACTTTGCATTTTCATCAGTACAGATCTTACTGTAAACATAGTTTGTTGGGGTTTTCTTTGTATTAGTCTAAATAGTATATTTTCTAAAATGAAGCCAAAAAGTGTATGGAAACTGCCAAATAGAATGTCAGACCTATTAATAAAAAAAGCGATCTAGTGTTCAGATGGACATTTAGGCCATTTTTGAAAGGAGGCAGAACCTAAGACCAATGTGCTTGTTCTCAGCAAAAATACAGAAAATGTGTAGATATTACTAGCCTGACAGACTCTGCAGACATAAACTTCCTCTTTAAATGTAAATATGCCTTTTGTCACATGTACAAGACTGTGCTTGTACAATTCATGCTCAAACTAACTCTGCTTGTTACTTCTTTTATGTGCAATGTTTAAACTCTTTCATGAGCTTGTTAAAACGAAAGTTGTCTTCAGGTACTTGTATGGTTTTTGTTGTTTTCAGGCTGCGCTATGTCATGTTAAATTTACATCAAGAAAAATCTCGAATGTTTCTGTAAAGAGTTGGGGAGCTGGCATTTCTATTTCCTTTTTGAACACAGAGATGATGCGTATGTGTGCGTATGCTGTGTAGGCCAGTAAAACGTATGTACAGATTATATTCAGGGAATTGTAATACTAAAAAATTATGTGTTTAATTTTTTAATTGTTACTGCAGGTCTTTCCAGAATTCTGTATTGCAGATTTTCAGTAGCTGGAAGGAAATGCAGCTCTATAGTGAGATTCCAGGTATGAGAATGGTTAAATGCTGCAGAGCAGAATGAATACTTTTTTTCTCCCCATCTTTCCCCCACCTCATGTTTTGGGTTATTCATAAATATCATGCTGGTCATTCCTCCAGTTCCAATCAGCCTGTGAACAAATCGCATTCCAAGTCTAGTGTTTATCACCTGTAAAAGCAGCTAATGTTTCTCTCTCCAAAAATACTTGAAGGCAAAGGTAGTTCTGTTTTTTAAGTGGAGTTTGTGCATTTAACCTTCTTCGTACAAATGTGTGGTGAGGAGGGATCACTCCACCAGCCTAGAGGGCTTAAGGACTGTAGTCATTTAAACCTAAGTCATTAAAACATCGGTCCTGGGCTTTCTGGGTGCAGAGTCTTTTCTGTCACTCGGTGAGCAGGTTCCTGGAGCCAGGCGTTAAAGATCCTTCCAGGGGCAATATCCAGAATTCCCAGCAGGCTCTGGGGAAAGCTCTGCCCCATGCAGCTGCCGCTGGGAGCCAGGAAGTGTGAGTGGCCTGGAGGAGGCATCTGTGTGGTTGCTGGCTGGGATGCCTGTAACCAGCACTGCTCCACTCAGAAAGGGCTTGGATGGGCCCTTCTGCTTCAACTTAGCTTGGGCTGAATGTAGGAGAGAAGCTCTCTTTGTTTCACTCTCTGCAAAAGAGCAGGTTTAGAGGATTTTACCCCCTGCACAGGAATATTTTTCTTTTTCCAAATGAGTGGTTTTAACCCACAGTTCTCATGTGACACCAGCTAATGCTAGACAGTTGGTGAATTACTTGGGAGGCAATTTTAATATCACTATGTGAAAGACATTACTTTTTTCTCCCTCCTTATAAAACTCTAGTGTATTCCTGTGTTTATAAAACAATACATAAAGAATGGGGGCAAGTGAAATCAGCATGGAACCTCTCTTTCGAATCAGGAGTATGAGAGTGGGAAAGAATCCATAGCTCTGTCACAGTGTGCCATGCGTGTAAATGAATCGAAAGGCATCCTTGTTCTTGTACAGCGAGAACAATCCTTGTGACTGCTTCAGCAAACTCTTGGTCCTGTCACCAATCTAGCTGGTGTTTAAGTGGATTTCACAGGATTTAACTCAAAGAATATTTTGCTCTTAATGCTTTTTTAAATATATATATATGTATTATTTTTTTTTACTTTCAGGAGCTTACAAACATCATTCCATTTATTTTTTTCCTTTTCTTACCTTTTATTCCATAGATTTCATTAGAAACTGAAATTTTCCTGATCACCAAGTGCTTTGAATATCAATGGGATTTGAGCTTTTAAGTCATTTAAATACTAAATACTTTAAAATAAATAATTAAGAATCCAACATGATATTTTTATTACTAGATTAAATGTTCTATCAAAAGATTCTATTTTACATAAAGGGAGTGAAGCTGCCTCTCCTAAAACAGTTCTTTGTGGATGTCAAAATTTTCTTTACCATGCTTAACTTACTCTTAGTGGCCCTGGTATTAACAGAACTATTCTGAAGATAAAAGCACTTAATGAAACCAAGATGGGTTTCCAAATGGGGCAGATTGTTAGCAAAGTTTGTCTGTTATCTTTCTTGGTTTATTTTGTTACTTGGTTATTTTTTTCACTTTGGTTCCATTCATCCTTTCAGATTGTCATAAAGATAAGCTGAGGATTTTAAGGTGGGAACTTGAGTAAATGAGCAGTGTGGAAAAATAGTACCAGGTGTATCTTGTAATGCATATAATTTAAGATGGTATGAATATGGGGGTTGGATGGTTTTAGAGAGCTCCTCATTCTGCTCACCTCTTATTTTGCTTTATAGGGATGTTCAGAAAGTTGCTTAGCTAAAAATTTGCCTTTTTTTTTTCCTCTGTAACAGCTACAGTTTTGATATTTGTTTGCTGATAAAATGTAAAAGTATTATCAAGCATTTCTGATATGAGTAGGGTGGGGGTTTGTTTTGGTTTTTTCTAAATCTGGCTTGTATTTGAAGCTTTTCGGATTGTTTGTTAACCCTGTTTAGGGACAGAATATGGGGGCACTGTACCTGTCGTCGCACACCTGGGTAATTTGAACTGCTGGCCACTTTATTGACTCTGGAAAAGACATCTCTTTGCTATCAAACAGCAGGCTTGTGCTGCCATGTTTCTTACGAAGTGGGGCGAGTAGGAATTATGCATTAGCCTGTCTTGTGTTACCTTAGTCAAGAGAAGTGGCCTGAAACCAATGTTGGAGAAGTTGTGCTGTACTTCTTTAAGATTAGCGCAAGTTAAATCATTCTTTCTGTGAAAGAGGAACTTCTAAGTGTGTGTGTCTGTAGGCACATGCACACCCCTGTTAAGACTGTGTTGTTGAAGATGCAGATCCTCTTAGCATTGGAACCCTGTCGAAGGCCGAGTCAGTGATACCTGTCTGGGAATAAGCAAGGAACATTGCAATTCAGAAGTTCTTAGTGACTTGGATATTACCCATTTCTACAACACTTTAAAGATCATTAACTGAAGTGGTACACATTTCTGGATTTTTTTTGGTTTTTTTTTCACTGTATCAAGCATCTTTGTACTCCAAAAGGTTGGGCTCTCATCCCTAACAGTAACCAATTGCATGTGCAGTCTTGGCTCATGTGTCCTTTGCTTCCTGTCACCAATATACTCTTTCTAAAATTTTTTTTTTGTTAACTGGAAAAGTTTTAACACTCATGTCAAGTTCATTTGTGAAACTTCTGAAGCAAACTCTGAATCTGCTTATGGTAAAGACAAAAGAGATGAGATTTCACGTTTAATATTTCTTACAAGTCTTCTAGAAAATCCTGCCATATGAAAGAGCTGTTTAAATGACTGTAATGCAAATTCATAATGAAACATCAAAAATACTTAGTGAATTTGAGATGCCTTTAAAGTGTTACTTTTGCCTGAAGAAGTTTTAGTTTCCAAAGTTGAAATCTGCTGAATGGAATTAAATTGTTTTGGTTTTTTTCACAGTGTTAATTACTTCCAGAAGAAAGTTAAAATGTTGGTTTATTCTGAGGGTGGGAAAACTCTCTTCAATCCTTTGTTTCATGTTTTTGTTGAAGATGTGGAATACTTGGTTGTTAAGCAACTCAATCACTAATACGTTAGCGTGTTTAAACTTATCAAATCTGTGATCATACCAATACAGTGGGTTTTGTTAAGACTGGACTATCCTGGGTACTGGAACCCACACTTCAGTGCAATGTTTATTGATGTTCAGAACGATGTTATCACAATAAACAAACTTAAACTAATTGTTTTCTTCACTTTGTGCTTGGGAATTCCATTACTGCATTGCTGATTTACTAAATGTGGATTTATTCAAACTCTTTTCATATTTTAAATGGAATTCAAGTTGCTCTTCAGAGAACTGTGATACATTTGCTTTCCCTCACGCTGTTTATTTTTTTTAGAGTATTTATACAACAGATAAATAATTGCTATCAGACTTACATCATGAGCCAGTACCAAGACTGGGTTATAACTGTAACAAAAAGCAAGCATGCATTAGTAATACAGACTATCAGGTAATGGATGTAGGATTCAGGAATACACAAGCTGCCGTGAAGAACATCTTGTAACTCCATAGTTTGAGCTCTTGTAAATGTGCCCTAATTCGGAGTTTTATCCTAATTCCTTCCAAGTTAACTTTTGCTTTTCAAGGCAGAGTATTGTCTTCCACAACATTTGTTGAATTGCTTGAGGCAGTTATTGCAAGACCGTCTTGAAAAAGGGGCCTCAAGCTTTCAGTAAAAACTTATTCTTGCCAGTCCCTTGCTGCTGTTGGTAAATGCAACTAACTAGCAGCCTGCCTTAGAAAATCCATTTCAGTCACACGTAAAAGTACGGTATGTCTGCATGAAAGTGTAAATGATGCTGTGCCTCCTGATCCTTCCACCGTGCATCATTTGTGTTGCTGCCCCTGGCACCCGTGCGCTCTCCTTGCGCTCAGACGCAGACCTTACTGCTGGAGTTTTATCATCTCCAGCGGCAGTAGCAGACTTTCCATTTCTGTTGGAGTTCCCCTGTGGTTCCACTGGGACTGTGTCCAAGAAGGGGCACTTTCCTGTGCGTGCAGGGGCACTGTCTCTAGAGTTAAAGTCAAGCAGTTTCTACACCAAGAGCCCCGGGAGGCTGCGTGTGCAGCCCGGCACCATTCTGGCTGGGCGGCAGGTGTGTGCTCCTACTTTTTGCAGCTGCTGGATGAGCTCTCGGACCAGCGGGGAGAGGGGGGGGTGTTAGCTTAACAGTGCTGCTGTGTTCACTGGAAAGCAAAAGAGCATCAAGACATCACACAACAGGTAGGCTTTATTTAGACAATGTGCAGTTGTTCTCCATCACACAGTTGGCTTCATGTTCCTAGATAATACTTTCTCACCCTAT